TCGAGTAATCCTCAGAATCTTTACTGATGGCAGTTTTGCGCAAACTGTAAGTAAGACGTTAAAATGGCTCTTTACGATTTAACATTCGCACACGAAAGCTTAATGAATGGGTGCTCATCATTTACGAACAGTTACAAAATAGGGCCTTTCATACTGGCGTATTGTGTGTTTGTTACCCACTGGTTTCTTGCAATGTTTTTATTGTACAAAAATACAAAGTTTGAGGTTTTTTTTAAAATACATATATGTACAGTTTACGTAATTTTTTGTAAACAAAGAATGTTTTCTATTGCGATCAATGGCAATAGAAAAACAAACAATCGTTTCTTTTGTAATGAATTGAAGGCATTTATAAACAGTTCGCTTTATTTCGGGTGTTTTTGTTATGACTTATAGAAAGTCAGCATGCATTATAACTATAATTAACTGTATTAAATAGCATGAGTTAAGTACGTAAGTAACCTTCTTACGAATTTGTCTGCACTAGCTTTACAATCTAATAAATTAATTGAAAAGCACGTAATGACGATAGCACTGCAACTGTCATTGACAGGCGTGTCGCTTTCCACCAGGCGCAGGAATTGTTGGTCCCGTCACTAGGTATCATAAAGAAACAGGTTCTTAGGTTTTCGCGATTATTTACATTGAAAATAATCTAAATCGTGTATATCTAATAAACCGGATTCCTCCCCTAATTTTTCACCCTTAGAGGGGGAATATTTTTTTCAAAATTGAATGAGGCCACTACTGATTTACCCCCTTTACCAAAAAAAAAGAACTATCGAAATAGGTTCACAAAATGTTGGAGAAATCGCAACACACGAAGAAATACAGTCGAAGAATTAAGAACCTTCTCTTTTTTTAAGTCGGTTAACAATGGGGTTGTTAACCGACAAATATTAGACATAACTGGTTGATGACTTTACTATCTTAGTCAACCGTGACCATGGGATCTTTAAAGGGGCCCGAAATGATGGTACGTTTGAAAAAAAAAACTAATATATGCTATTTCGATCTGAAAAAATGAACAAATAACGTGTAGCGCTTAGGTCATCATCATTATCAACCCGTGAAACGTCCCACTGCTGGTCACGGGTGCCATCTTAGAGAAAGATTTAGTTAGGCCATAGTCTAAAGCGAGTAGGTTTCATCACAAACACACTGGTTTCATAACGTACACATAACAACGCACACACTCATAGTCCCGCAGTAGGGAAACTGTATCGCGGATGCCATGGACACACACATAAACAACCACAAATTAAACCCAAACTCATGAGAGAAATAAATGTAGGCTATATAATAATTTCTCCTGGCCCGGGAATTGATCCTGGGACCTCTGCGTGGCAGTCCAGCATTGTAACCGTACGGCTACGGCGGCAGTTATGTACGCTATTTATAAATGTACGTTACTTACATATTTAAGTTATAAATTCTGGCCTTTACGGGAATTCGAACGGTCGACTTTTCAGTAGTAAGACATTCGAAAATGTCTTCAACCATATTTCCCTTGAAAATTTTCCACAAAATTGAATCTGTACTCGTATAACAAGGGCGCCATGTTTACCCCCCGGTTACGCACCATTACCACTTCTAAAGGGTGTTTGATTGATATTCGATGTACAGTGTGTTCTGTTGATGATCCGTGACCGTGTCGCTAATCTAATTTCCACTCCCCCTGTATATCATGTGGAAAGATGATGTACAGTCTCCGACAAACAGCGATGGACTGAAAAGGAATTTTTGTATATACAATATATATATAATTGTAATATAATAAAAACGGCAAAGCCAAAAGACTACAAAACTAAACAAATAACAAAATAAATATTAATCACATGAATGGTGAGCAAAGGTGGCTTATCTCTACAAGAAATCTCTTCCAGCCGATCCAAGGCAGAGAGAGCACAAGTCATAAGCGTGAAAGATAAAAATAGGGAGAACTATTATAAATCATGAGATAAATTCATAGGACCGATGCATATATTATCATTATAATATACATACAATATATACGAGTAACATCTTGGGCACCTTGCCGCGAGGATCCAATTTTATTCATGTAATTTAGAAATCCTAGTTTTACGTCCTAATATTTAAGTTTTATTGTACTTTACCTTTACCTCTTTACATTTTCACCGTAATTAATTATATATGTAACATACATAAATATATGAGTAAGTAGATATATAAGTCCAAAAAAGAAGTCTTAAAACTTAATGACATTTTATTCTATCGAATAACTAAAAACAAGTGAAGTTGGTATTGATTTACTCTGGCTTGTTCTGTCCGTGTCAAGAAAAACAATTAAGATTCAAACTTTACCACTATTGGATATAACAACATCTTGTTTCACCATAATTTTGCCTCGCATAGCAACAATCCATCGCATAAACCTGGTCGTTCCCCTGCACCTCTGCAAGACCTATTGGTTTTATTATAATTAAAACTTCACATCTGTATGTATTTAACAGCACAAATTATAGTATGTTCGCTATAGAAAGTTTTCGCTGTAGTTTTCCTCTGTTATTTTGTCAAACATGGTAACAGTCCATTTAGTTCACCTGGCCGTCCCTTGCCCTTCTGAAATTTCATGCTTATTGGTTTAGCCTAAGTTATAGTATTATATCGTCATATAAATAGCTTTACACGCCAAATAATATACCTACTTAGTGGGTATAATAGAAAAACTTATCGAACCAATCAAAACGGCATTTGCTGTTCCATGACAAATGTTATCCAACAGACCACGTAGCTTATTGCTACTGCACATTGCCGTGAAATTGCTCTCAAACGATACAAAATATTAATTTAACTTACTTACTAGCTTTTACATTACGAACAACATATAAATTACATATTACTTGATAAAAGTCCGTTTTATCGGTCGAAACACTGTACAAGTTATTGCCAACAATATTGATTATGGCTTATGGCAATTTTAGTTTTGATTGAACATGGATTTATGTTGATGACTGTACTTATTTCGTTTTTATGCGATACCGAAAGTTGGATTTGTATTTCATTACGTATTTATTTTTTTTTAGAAAATTTTCATAACTTTCTGTCTGAAATATTGATGGCACATGGTTACATTTAATAAGATGCTGAATAAAATCATATATTCACGTATAATCCATATTCGTATGAATATTATTTTTATGTCAGTATCTAGCGGGAGATGAACGACGATTAGTGACCAACATTTCGCACATGACAACTAACATAGTATTATCTCAAAATTGCTTTAAGATGTAATAATATTACCTGTTTAATTTCGCGACAGTGTTGTCGTAGATGCGGGTTTAAGTTCAGTTATATCAAAGGAATATTTATTTGAATTTGCTTAATCTTTGCATCAAAATTAATAAATGTAATGTATAAAATTTTTCGTATTAAACTTCTACTTCGTTGCTAAGTTAACTACGCTTCAATGCCGGCCATTAAAGTTGCCCAAAACAATTTGGCTACAAAACACCAACGATTACACAGTAAAAACTCTTCTTTACCCCATAAAAGAGCTGAATAAAAGCCATTAGATTCTCTGCCAAAAGCGACGATATACAAACTCCTTTTACAAGGAACACACTGGCGGGTACCGTGAATAGATTTCACAAGCCATTAAGTCCGTGACAGATCGTTCAAAATGGCGGATGGTTTTTTTCGAGGGAAATCCGTGCATTGTGTTGCCAGTAGAAAAATTTTGGCATTTTTCTTTCAATAGATAGTGAAATATGGGAGGGGTCTTTTGAATAGTTTTTTTGTTATTATTGGCGCTTCCGTTAATCCTTTCTTATTTATTGGGTGCTCGTAAATAATAATACAATGGGTGTTAGATGTATGGGAGTATATGTAGAGTTTATGTAGTAAAGTTTTATCGGGGTGGGGTGAGAAAAGCCCTTTGTATGTTATTTTATTTTGAGAGTTCATCTCTTTAACAGAATCATTAATAACTTATAATGTTTTTCTTGATAAATAGCGACTTTTTCTTTTTTAGAAACCAACCATTGTTTGATTGAATTCCTGAACTTTTAAACTTGAAAATATCCGACAAACTTGAAGAGTCCGGTTCATGCAATGTTTCTAGGTGCTTTTAGTAAAATGTTTCGACCCTTTTGTAGGATGACAAATTAATTGTACTTACCTACATCGTAACTAGATCAATGGATTTGCATACTACATAATTATGTCTGGATTTAGGATCTCTGTAATTGTTATGTCAAATGACATAACAATTACAGGGAATATCCTGTGCTGTAAGAACCCACAATAGAATTATTAAAAAAAAATCTTTTCTACATTGGTAAAGAACTTAAAAAAATAATTTATTCCATAGGTAATATAAATTTATACTTGAAAACGTTGTTTTTTAAGCTACTGCTTATTCACCATGCTGACTTCAATGAGAAGAACGGACAAGAAACTCTAGGGATGACTCTTTTCAAATAAACTAAATGCTGGTGAATACACTATGTATCAAATTTGTGTGGAATCTACAGATATCTCGTCTTTCCATATATCTTTATCTAAAATGTAGTCTTCAATTTTGTAATGTGACTTTTCAATTAAAGTAAGTTTTAAACTTAGGAAATGATAATCTTAATATATGCCCCGGAATCTTATTGTGAAAACGTATACAGTTCCTCATAAAAAATCGTTTACCTTAGTTAAACGAAATCGTGGTACATGAGTTTGGACTTAGTTCTAAGGTTGATATTATGAATATCTTCTTTCTTAATGAAAATATGTATATTTCTACGGGCATATAAAATATTTGAGTAAATGCACTGTGATGTCATAGTCATGATACCAGTCTCCTTAAACTTTTCTCTCAGAGAAACTCGAGAACCTAAACAGGACACAGAATGAATTACAAAATTGTATTATGTCATATAGATTTCATAAAAAATCTCTAGTAGCTGTAGTATTAACCAACGGTCCACTGTTATATAACTATCCAATAAAAACAAATATTTATACCTATTTTTGTTTGCCAACAGGTAAAAGTCTGGTTTCAAAATAGAAGAACGAAGCACAAACGCATGCAGCAAGAGGAAGAAGCCAAAACTGGTTCCAAAGGCGGTTCTTCTAGCAGTAAACCAGACGATCACCAATTGAACCATTCATACGAAGAAGAAGACGAAGAACTGATAGACATGGACATGGATGATTTAAGTGAGAGTGAAAATGAAACGTAGGTACAGTGCAGTGCGTAGAGACACTTGTAAATATAAAAAGAATTATAATTAAGCTTTTAAATTTAGAATATTATATTTTTTATTTATTTTTTCCGAAGGTCTGAATGGTAGGATATTTGTCTGTGAGTATGAAAGTTGTGCAAAAACTAAACTTCATAGACCAAGGAGTTTTTAATTGAGTGGAAAATGATTATTATTTAATCGCCTATGTTCTTGTAAATATTTGTTACAGTCACTCGTAACATTTAAAAGAAACCACAAAACATGATTAAATGCCACCAAATTGCTGTAACATATGCAATAAAATTCGTTGTAAAACATTTAAAAGTTCAACAAAAACTTGTTGAAAAAATAATTAATATCAATCGCTGGGCACCAAGCCGTGTCATTAAATTAACGGAATATCCAAGATGGCGGCTTGTTAACGCTTCACGAGCTATTAGATAACAAAATTGGCCGCATTATAATAGTTTTGAGACTAAATTAATTAGAAACTCAACGTTTTGATGCGTTCCTAGTGATGTGGGTATAATTAGATATTTAGATTTGGTCCCGCGATATGAGCTAACGAGAGCTGTCAACGAGAGGGACAAGCGAATATGATAATGATGTGTTAGAAAGAGATAGACATAGGTTAATTGATGCAGAGACGATTATTGTACGGTCAGAGAAAAGGGCGGTCAATTTTTTGGTTAATAACACGTTTCTTATTGTGAATTGGTGTCCAAATTGTCTATAATTAAAAGAAAATATTTCTTTAAGTTGTTAACACTTCAAAATTCAATATGAAGGCCGGGAGGTTTGCTGGCAAAATAAATGTTTGAATTTGTTAATGCAACGGGCACTACATTACTAAAGTCCGTGGTCCATACTCATCAATATCACCTCTACAACTGAACTATATCATATCCTTGGTATAATAAAGTCACATGACGTGATATACGAACAGTGTTTTTATCACACGAAAGTCATAAAAATAATACGAACTATCATGTACAATGTATATATGTCAAATTTATAATTCTATATCGGTCATTCTTGGATAGTGTTCATTAGCTAACTTGAACTTTGAACTTGAACTTGACTTTTTTATCTTGCAATATTATTTAATAATTACACGATAATATACTTGAATATTTAAATATTAAAAATTGCCACGGAAATTAGGTTATGAACTAGTCCGAGAATGTCCGACTTAAGCAAAATTTTACGCTTAAATCGGACGTTCTATCGACTTTTCGCTAGAACAATCTTCAAACCTCTCTCCTGAAGAGCTGACAATTTACAGACGTGGCCTTATTACAACAAGTATGCGATGTCAAGAAACTTAGGCAGTGTTACATATATAGACACCGATACTTTTAACGTGGCCTTTTTGAGGGCATCTATCTACACGGTTTTATGTACATTCACTCTATAAATTAGTTTTTTTTTCATGGTACCAAGAGACGGGACGAACAAGTCATACGCCTGATGATAAGCAACACACCTGTCCATAACAGTTGCAGTGTCACTCAGAGCTTTAAATCACAAAGAACTGAGGGGCACCGCCACTGCGCCCGTCACCTTGAGACATAAGTTGACAAGACCCATGTGCCTGTAATTTCACCAGCTCCCTTCAAAAAACCGTAACGCAGTAATACTGCTTGGCGGCATAACTCTGTCACAAGGAACTGTACTGCTACCAAAATTGTGCAGTGAATCCACCAATATCTATCTTTTCTAGATGGCTAAATCATCGAGGGATTGAGTTTTCTATGTTGGTCGCTACGTCATTCACCACAAAGCTCTCTCACTACACTTTTTTTAAGGAAACGCCTAAATAATAAATTGCCCTTATAATAAATTACATTAGCTCTGACCGTACAAAGCCTATTATTAAGAGGTGCGTCTTATCTCTCCTGATCACGTTTCGTTATTGCTCACAAAATTGTTTTTAATCTGTGACGATTGTTCTCTACGGCTATTTGTCTATAGGCGAGTTTGGGCTGATTGTGATCTCTATCGCCTCGAATATTATTGGCTTGTTGTTTCTTTACACGTCTTGTAAAGCGGTCACCGATTAATTTCACTGATTGTACTTTTACGAAGTGGTTGTTGCCCACACTCTAGAAATGGCGTTATAATTATCACTAAGATTTCTCTTTATTTGCATTTGGATATACTATTAAGCTCGAGTACATTATAATTTGCTTTATGATGTCCGGTATTGTATATTTGAAATAACAGTCTGAAATGTCACAGGGATCATTTCGACATAGTTATGCAAACTAGAACCAACCCTCAAAATGTCACTTTCGAGATAATCAGACTTTTGTAAAAACAGTGTGAAGAAATAAATAGGTAAGCTATTTGAGACAAACAACGTTAGTTATGTGTAGCATTAAGAATGATATAGGGTAACTATTATATTATATAGCAATAAATAGAAATCATTATGTACCTTTTTATTTAGTTAACGAGAACCATGTTTTAGTTTTCGTAATGAAAACGCTAAAGATCTACAGTACTTTACTACACGTGACATGGATGCATTTAGCATGTTTAAAAAAATACATTATATAAAGTTAAACAGCATGGTTCTTTTTAGCTATTAAAAAGTTACTTATTTAGGGTTGGTACTGGACTTTTATTTTCTCCGTTTTGGCTTGGTATATTGCCAGGATGTTTTGTGAGCGAGTAAAGGACACGTCTGGTGTTCTACTTAAGTACATAACTCAATTTCACTCGAGGTGTGGGTTGGTTCTTGTTTGCATAACTATGTCTATTTTATCGCTTAGTAGCGACATCCAAAGTGGGTCCGAGTTTTCTAGATTTATACAGTCTAGGATTCGGAACAAATACGAATAGGATGCAATGCGTAAATGTAATAGGGGTACTGATGAAACTACAGGCACATGGGACTTGTGTACTTATGTCTGAGGGTGACAGGCGCAGTGTTAGTGCCTCTCAGATCTTTCCACTTTAAAACTGTGAGTGTCACTGGAACTGCTGTGGACGGGCGTGTCGCTTACCACCAGGCGCATGACTTGTTCGTTCCGTCATATTGTATTATAAAAAGTCTACCCCGCTGGAAGACAGGTGTGACGTCATATGTATGTACGTAAAGCGCAATCTACTTCACATAACAATTGCAAGAATCTAGCAATTTGTTTATCTCCAGTCAAAGCGTAAACTTTTCAAAAACAATACTTTAAATGACGGCATAAAGTCGTTGTATGTTTTCACCTACTGCAAAAAGCAGAAAAATACACGGTAACGTCTTTGAATATGGCACAAAATCAAATGCATTGACCTTTTAATTTGAAATGACAGCTCAATTGTGTCATACATTTTATTACGTACGTTTAAAGTGAATTTCTTTTTACTTTTAAAAAGTCGTGATAAAAAATTTTAGTGTCAAATGAAATTGTGACGCTCTTATTTTGAAAAGCAGTGAATTTCGTCGACCGTACTTTCTATTAACCGATTTTTATAAATGCGAATGTTTAATGCTTGACCTTAAGTACATGTTTTCAAAATGTGGGGCATAAACCGGCTCTGCCTGGATTTAATTAAAACCAAGCAGTTAATCGTTCAATTTAACTGGCCAGGAGCGTGGCGCTGCTCCATGTGGGTTCACACAGGGGTGGATTTGGGGTTTTTTTATTTTTCAGCAGAATTCGTTACAATTTTTCTTAATTTCATTATTCTACTGAATGCAACTTTTAGAAAAGTACTTCGAAAATGCGTTAGTTAAATAACTATACATACCATATAAATAATATATGCCTAGACGCTAATTGAACATCTGTTAAGAAGCAAGCAAATTCAACAATTTAACATTTGAAATTTTATGTTTATTTTTTTTATTATTAACAATAGAAATTGTTTAAAAATTTCATAATCATACAACAAAAGTTTTTCATTTCATGTAACAAAGTTTTACTTTGGGATTGGACTGAAATTAGTATCACTTATTTTAAATGCAATGAACCAATTTTATATTTTCTAATAGTCCTTGTGGCGGCCCTGTGCGAGCAATGAAACTGCGCTGGGCATTGTTTGCGGTGATTTTTAAACCACTTAATTGTCCGCGGGAAACATGCGCGATTTCGCACGGCGACCAGCCGTTCGCTGGGCACAGGTCACTTTGGCTTTTACACATTTGGAGGACTCTAAGAATTTGATACAATTTACATGAACTAACGCTTTTCATATTATAACATCGGCCCACTCTTCGTTTATGATTTGAAAAGCGAAGGGAGCGGGTTGGGCGCGAGTTGGGTCGGGACCGCGGCGGGTCTAATTCCGTGTATTTTTATGGAAGACAACACACCGAGCGCGGGCGCGTGCAACCGTCCTGCCCCCGAGATCGGTGTGGAGCGCGAGCGTTAAAAAAAAAGGGGATTTTTTCGTGGGAAAACTTACTAGGACGGTTATACACTTACTTACACTTTTACCGGCTAAAACCCCATGGTGGCCTTCTCAGCTGTTCTAGTAATAGGTATCCGGGATCGACTTTGCGCGCCGGATCCCACGCAACACCGGGGAGCAATTAGGTCCTCCTCATCCTCACGACGAAGCAGGTCACACCACCTCGTCGTCTACTTCGCGGATGCCAAACTTACTGGCGAACAGAGCTTCCGCTCCGACGCAAAGGTACGCCGCCGCCGAGCGGGACCGGCCCTCTCCCAACCACGCTCGGCGACCTCCTTCTGGAACATCACCTCTTCACAGAAGGAGATTACTGCCGCAGGGGATGTGAGATAGGGCTATATCAATCCGACTCAAATCATTGTGCTTGTGGATACCTCACACAAAGCATGTCTCACCTGCTTTAGTGTCTGTGTCCGACCAGCTGCACCTCGGAAGACCTGCTGAAGGCAACGGATGCACAAAGGTAACCACCTCTATGCATCCGTTGCCTTCAGCAACTTCAACTTACTGGGCCAATTTAACACCGGTTTGTTATTTTATTGGGTTTGTGTCATTGACTCGACAAGAAGAAGAAAAAGACGATTTTTGTTTTATACATAAGTAACGTAACGTCAAACGAGCTTCTTGTTTT